TATTAAAATGAGTAACACAACTTTATATATTATAAGTTTATGTTTTTATATTTATTCAATTTGATATTTATTTCTCAACATGTTCCAATGTTCCCGCAAGATAGTGACTCTTTTGAGAACACAAATCATCTTATCTGTGTGCTCATTTAAATCCTACCGGATACCATACTTTAAGCTTGTTATGATTTTGCAATATGATAATGTAGATAATAGTAATCCGTAATGAAATGAGTGAATTTATTATATCATTGAATAATTTAAGTACAATATTTATCTATTAATTTTTATTGTGGAGCATAAGTGAGGAATCATTTTAGAAGTGGGCAAAATTATATTCGAACCAAAACGACAGATTTAATTCGATTATGAGTATGATTTCAAGTGAATTGCCTATTTAGTCACTGAACTTTCAGTCATGCACGCAAGGGGTCACTGAACTTTCAACTATACACGCAAGAGGTCACTGAACTTTCAAAATAACGCAACTAGTCACTAAACTTTACAATTCTTCACCCCATAAGTCACTGCCACGTGGAAATTCCGTCCAATTTATAACGGCCGTTTGTTCAGTGACTTATGGGATGAAGAATTGTAAAGTCTAGTGACTAATTGCATTATTTTGAAAGTTCAGTGACCCCTTGCTTGCATGGCTTAAAATTCAGTGACTAAATAGGCAATTCACTCGCTCATATGTGCACCCTCGTTTTCACACGAAAACTGGTTTCGCCAGCTGTTGAAAATATCTTCACTGTAAAATTGTATTTTGCTCTCTCGCATCACTCTCTCCTCTCTCGACCATCAAAGAAAACCCTACCTCACCCTTTCCGTCTGAAGATTAGCTCACATTTTCAAGACACCGCCCTCAATTTTTCTTCTAGCTTTGGCGGTGGGTTGGAGTTGGGCGAAGGTAACCTCGTAAGATTATTACAACGGAGAAGAAAACGGTACCTGTGTAAGTCTCTTTCGTCTAAGATTATATTATTTGTTTTTTAATTTGAAAATTGAATTGGGTTTGTTGTGTTCTTTTTGATTTTTGATTTTCTATGATTTCTTGAGTTTGATTATTTCCTCAATTTTTATTTTTATTCCGACATGTTCCGGTCGCCACGTGCTTGGGTTTGTTCTAATGTGTCTGTTGAAGTAGGTGCTTGGGTTTATTTCGCAGTTTTTGTTTTGCCCTTTGGATTCTTATCTGACCGGTCTGAGGGTGGTGTGCTCACAGCCACTGAGAAAACAAGTGTGCTCAAGCTGCAGGTAAAATTTTGGTGCACAAACTTGATACCTTGACCGATTCATTTGAATATTACTGGCCGATAATGTGTAGTCCGAGTTGATTTCTTTCAATTTGTATTGGCTTACAGTATTTTATCACTTTTGTGGAGGCTCTGTTACTCTATGTGGTAATGGTTCCATTATTTAGGTACTTATTAATCTCTACAAAAGAAAAGGGAAAATTAGAACGAACTAGATGTGTAAAGGACATTGCGTGTTTATATGGTGATGAGTACACCCTGATATAGAAATTTTAGGTGGGCACTGGCCAACGTATACAAAGATGGACTGTGAGGAGGTAAGATGGAATGTGAAAGGAAGAATTATGACCGAAGTGTGCTTTGAAAAGCTACGTAATTTGGATCACATGCAAAGTATATAATTTTGGAAACACTAGGAAACTAACGTGTTGATTGATGGGCCTCAGTTGAAGATTTTGAGTAATTTATTTTAGAAAGAAGCAAAACCAAATCCGTTTCATGTACTCGTGGGTGGTGGTAAATTCAGTTGAGACCCTTTTTTAGGCATTCACAAAACTTATGTACAATTGGTTCATTTTATTGGTTGTTTCCATCGTTTTATTAATTTTTTATTTATTATTTATATCTAAAGGTTGGGTTGTTGGGATGGGGAGATCACTCCAAACGGATCTCAACCGAATAGCT